CGTAAAGGACATTCTGCTGGAGGGAAGCACTAACAGGACCGACATGAAGCTGAATGAATTCCTTCGGAGCAACTTGGGCGATGAGTGGGTTGTGGAAAGAAATGGGAACGTCGCTATGGGGAATTTTGTGTTGATGCCCACGATTTTTATTAAAGACAATGAAATATTGGACATAATAACGGCATTGCCGTCATACAGAGAGCTGAAAATACTATTGGAGGCTATCAATAAGCTTCATCACGAGGGTGTGCTTTCTCTCGAGCAATGGAGGGACTATGAAGGAAAGGATACAATCACTCCTCTTTCAAAGGCAAAACTAAACGCAGTTCTCACGCAGGTACTGACAGAAGCGAGGCAGAAGGCAGAGGAAAGGCTAAGGCGTGAGGAAGAAGAAATGCAAAGACGAGCGCAAGAAATGAAATATAACATTTCCACTACGATCGAAGAGGTACTGTTTAAAGGAAGAGCTCGCGTCAATGAAATGAAGCTGAACGACTTTCTTACGAGGGAACTGGACGGCAGGGGCATTGTGGACACCAATCGGGATGTCTTGCTGGAGGAGTTTTTCAAGGACCCCACGAAGTATATCCGTGATAAAGGAGCATTGAACGAAATACAGGCATCAGGTCATTATTTGAGTATGAAGCGAGCTGTAAAGGGTGAAGTGATCTTCGATGAGGATATACGCAAGCTTTGCGATAAGGGTGTCAACAATCCACCGGGGTGGTCATTAGCTGCTGCGGAGGTAAAAGCAACTGTTCGTAACTCCACCAAACATTTCTTGGATGCAGCTGCCGGGGAGGCGAGGAACCCAACGACGACGAGCGCACCGGAGAAACTGGAGGGATGCTACGAGTCTGTGCACAATGCGAGGTGGCATCATGTCGTGGAAGTATACGACGACACAGAAATGGGAATGGATGTGAGGGAGGGGGAGCCACCGCAGTCATGGACGTACAATAAAGCTGACGACGCTATCGAAAAGAATGACGCTGTGCAGCAATCCGGTGCGGCACCTCCCGTGTTGATAGTGCTTGCCTCGGAGAAGGGATGGCCGTACTCGTGGAATACGATACAGGATCTTCCTAAGGACGTTTTTGTAAACTGTGAGGTGGATCGAGTGTGGCAGATCGTCAAGGGCGATCTAACCGCGTGGTTCAGCCCTCACGGTGGGACCGACTTTAAGCCCGAGCGACGTGTGTTGATTGGGACGCCCGGGATAGGGAAATCGGTGGCTGTCGGCTCGTACCTTCTCTACCAACTGCTGCACTGCGATGTCGAGAAAATCCAAGTGGTAGTCCACTGTTTTGGTGGACGAGATGCGTACGTGTCTGACAAGACCACCAGAGCGGTGACAAGATAGAGCGATGAGGACATGTGCATCTCGGAGTTGAGAAGTTTGAGGGGGCATGGGAGGAATGTGTATATTATCTACGATGTGGCAAAGGAGGGAACGCCGCCACCGAGACATTTTGCGCCTACTTCTGGATGGGGCATGATTGCGGTGTCATTCCCAAAGGTAACCAACTATGATGAGTGGGCGAAGCAACTACAGGCCGCGCGAATCATCGCGAATTGCCCCGACGAGATGGATGTGAAGGCGATGTGCGCCTGGATAACGCGTGATGAGACTAAAGAGAAACAAGCGGAATACTGGAAAGGGGTCAAAAAACACATGTATCTTTTGGGACCGATTCCACGTCACGTCTTTGATGAGGAGGCGTTTACTGAACGCTGTGGAGCGGTGAAGTTCGCATTGCAATCGATCAACGAGGTAACTGTGAAAGAGTACTTTTCACGGGGAGGTGAGTCGCCATGGTATTCTGAGGATCCGTCCCACAAGCCTGTGAAGGTTGTTCGGGAAATATACGCAGGCGGTGTGATTCTCTTCAATGCACCGATATCTGCTTACCTCGAGGAACGGGCGTTGGAACGTTTCCCAAGTGTAACGAAATAAAATGGCTTTTTGAGGCTGATGTTGGCGTCGAAGGATAATATTTTGCCGATATTTTTTGGATGGTTTGCTTTGAAATCGTTCACGGAGAGTGCCTTTGTCAGGGTAATAGCGACGAAACTCACGGAGTTTGAGCCGCCAACAGGACGTCAAGCAAAGCCCTGCGTCTTGAAGTTGGCCCCTGAATTGCATCCCAAGGGAGATGAGGGTTTGCTGCCGAGTGAATATGAGAAAACGATCCGTAAAATGAAGTACGGGGTGCTGTACAAACCGTGGGCCGCAAACTTTCCGCTGGTGGACGCCTTTTTTTCTCGGAGTCCAATCCAATGACGCTGGTCGGGCTGCGGATGACTACGACGGGTGGGCATCACACCACCGCCAGCACTGAGAGGCAGTTCACTGAGTGCCTGGCGGCATATTTTAATGGTTGGGAGGAGTTATCCCGAGACGTATCGTGGGAGATTATTTATGTGCAGCAGGCAGACAGCACGCCGATGAGTGGCTGGCAGAGATGTGATGTCGACAATTCCGATAATTTGACCGAGGAGGGCCGTGAGATTGCGGCGTTCTGGAACGAAAAGGTGCGCCAGTACCAGGTGTCAATATCATCCGGAGACTTTTGAAGAGACGAAGCTCTCCGAAATGTGCAAAAAAATAATAATAGGAAAACAATTAGGGAGGGAAAGGGGTAGTTTGATTTGTGGTAAAAAAATATTGCGGGAATTATGTATTTTTGGATGCTTGTGTCTGAGCATGCGGTGCGGGTGCACCAGCACCATGCGGCGGCATCGCACACGAATACCCAAAATTTCCAACGCTATCGAACACAACAGTGACGGAAGAAATTGGGGAGGGAAAAGGGTTGTTTGGATTCTGGTGAAAAACATTGGGTGGTTTTTATATAGTATGTTGATTGTGTGTGTATACGAGGCATAATTGGAGAATTGCCCGATATGAGAGAATCATTGTGGCTGGCGGTGTCACGGCGTTACCGCATTGTCCATTTCCTTCTATTGTGCTCTAAGGCCCATCACTAACAGAAGCATCTTAAAGGGATGGACGACGAATAAGTTTTATTGAGGAAACAGTGCACTCCGTGTGACCACGTGGAGTGAGGCGCCGCGTCGTGGATGGATGAGGGCCCCGCTTCCGCGCGTGTGTCTCTTTGGGTGATTGCTCGCTCCGTGTGCGTTGTGTGCCGGCAGCTGGCTGTGGCTGTATACCGTTGTCCGTGGGATTGAACTGGAGGCGGTGGCGGTGTGTCGCTTCTCTTCCCCTTCCATTGTGTGTGACTGCTGGCGGTGTGTGCGTTTTTTGTGTGGAGGCCGTCCCGCAGTTTACGCACACAGTGAGCCACAACCGCTGTGAAAGGCCGCGTCTTCTTATTATGAACTTATTGACTCTGTGCGGTGTGTTTGACCATGTATTTCGTTATGTGCATGAGCGCTGGGCGTGTTTTACCGGAGCGTTGGGTGCGACCATCTGCCATGGCGACAATTTGTATGGTTGAGCGCGTGTGCGGGTTAGGGTTAGGGTTAGGGTTAGGGTTAGGGTTAGGGTTAGGGTTAGGGTTAGGGGTTAGGGTTAGGGTTAGGGTTAGGGT